ACTAAGGTAACTAGCAAGGAATCCCTCCGACTCAATGCATATACTACCTTGTTAAAACCCTCGATTTATGCTGAATAATAAAAGGAAAAATTTGCAGAAAACTTTCCCACCGAGTATGCATCTTGTTTATACCCTTCTGGCTATGAAGAAACTTCAAATCTCGATGGTCCATAAATAAAATGATCTTCTTATGAACCAAATAATGTTCCCACTGGCGTATATCTCTTAAGATTGCATAGAATTCCTAATTATAAGTACTCCATTTCTGGCGAGCATTGCTTAATTTTCGCTGAAAGGGCTTCTAGTTTCTTCTCCTAAGATAACAAAACTCTCATTCCCACTCCACTAACATCACATTCAACTTGGAACAATTTGTAAAAATTAGGAAGTGTTAATACGAGTGCAATACACAACTTCTCCTAATTAGTGCAAAATTGCGCTCTTGCTCAAACCCCTAACTGAACTTCCATTTCTTCAAACATTCAGTAATAGATGCAATGATAGTACTAAGTCTTTGACAAACCTCCTATAGAAGGTGGACAAACCATGAATTCTATAAATCTCCGCCAACGATTTAGGTGCATGCCACTCCCTTATAGCACTCACCTTATCTTCATCAACATGAATCCCTTCATCACCAACAACAAAGCATAGGAAAAGTAACTTGTTAGTGATGAATATGAATTTTTTCGAGATTAATGTGCAATTGGTTCTTTTATAAAAGTTGCAACACTTGCCTCACATGGTACAAATGCTCTATCTTGGTCTTATTATAAATCAGAATATCATCAAAATAAACCACTACAAAAGAACCAATAAATGGGTGCAGAACATGATTCATCAACCGCATGAAGGTTCTAGGGGCGTTGGACAAACCAAAGGGCATCACCAACGACTCATACAATCCACATTTTCTCTTAAAAGATGGTTTCCATTCATATCTAAGTTTGATCATGATCTAATGATATCCACTATTCAAATCTATCTTAAAGAACACCTTAGAACCGACCAACTTGTCAAGCATGTCATCCAAACGGGGATTAGGAATCGATACTTGATAGTTATCTTATTGATGACTCGGTTTTCAACATACATTCTCCACTGATTTCCTCTCTTAGGGACTAAAAGGATTAGTACTACACAAGGACTCATGCTTTCACGAATAAATCCCTTCTTCAACAAATCTTCAATATGCTCCCTTAAAATCTCATTCTCCTTAGGGCTCATATGATAGTGAGGAAGGTTTGGTAAGCTAGACCTCGATATGAGGCCAATCTAATGTTGAATATCTCACATGGGAGGCAAATCATTTGGTAATTCCTCTATAATTAACTCATTGAAATCCTCAAGGATCTCTAATAATTCTTCTGGAATCATTATTTCCTCACCCCTTTGATCACCACTGGAAAAAACATTCAACTTATTTTACAGCCTCATCAAGCTCCCTCCCACTCTATATCATCACCAATAAACTAGACTTTTTCCCTCATGGATTCTTATCAAAGTGCAAAATAGGAGCCATGTCAATTTTATGTGTTACCCATGTAAATATCATCATGTTATCCCATCCTTGATAATTGATATCATTATCAAATTGCTAAGGTCTACCAAGTAAAATATGACAAACATCCTTATCAAGAACATCACAAATTACCTCTTCTCTATAATATTTTTTGATGGAGATAGGAACTTTGCAGACTAGTGTCACTCAAACTTGGGAGCTTAATAGAATGCTTATGGCTTCTCATGAGGTTTTATAGATAACTCCAAATAATCTACCAATTTTTGAGACACCAGATTCTATATGCTGTCGTTATCCATGATCAAATTACACATTATGCTTTTGATAGAACAATGTGTTTTGAACAAATTCTCGCGCTTCCCTTCATCTTTAGATGCTAGTAAAATTCTATGCAACATAAAATTTACCCTCTCATCATATTCTTCCTTTGCGAACTCAGTATCTGCATATTCATCATTATCAGCTGCATGATATTCTCTTTCCTCATCTTCCCCCCTTTCTTCCACGACAACACTGACTCCCATTGATGGACAAACATTTGATTTGTGGCCTCTTCAGTTACAATGATAACACATGTCTACATTGGGTTTAGCATATGGATTATTCTTCCTCTTGATTGGTACTTTACCCCACTGCACATCACTAAAGTTGCTATAGTCCCCTTATTCCCAGGGTTGAAATCCCGGGGTGTTGCACTTTTTTCCTTGTCACATGCTGATTCAGAGTTATTATAGGGGTGAGTACCTTCCAAAAGATCAAAAATTTTAAGGGGATTTATTCTTTAGTTTTTCCTTCAAATCTAAACTGGATGCCTCAGTTACGGTCCATACAGTATTTAAACACATCTTCTCCTGTAAGGATCCCTTTAGGCCACTGATGTATTGAGCCACTTTTTGGCTCTCTGATTCTTCCAGTTCATTGTGCTAACAAATGCAGGAACTTTTGTGTGTGGATATTCATTCACGGATCTCTTTCCCTGAACACACTCGATATACATCTTATAAGAATTTGTTCATAATCCTCTGATAAAAATCGCTCAAACATTAATTGTTTCATGCTTTGCTAAGTTTTGACTGTCTCATTCCTTTGTCGTTTCCTTCGAACATCAAGTTTATTCCTCTAGACAATAGCAACACTTTTAAGCTTGATCACCACCATCTTGAATTGCTTGTTCTCAAGGACACCCATAACATCGAAGAGCATGTCGATGCCGATATTCCAATCTAAAGTCTCTTCCACTCCCATCATTTCATAAAATAATAGAATATCAGCCTTCACTTGATAGTGATGGTTGTTTTGTCGATTCCCACGCTCAACCTCTTCCTCGTAGGGTGGTTCTTGTTCAAAAATCGAATCTTCAACACAATTATTTCCACCCCATAGAACCCTAATAGCTTATTATTTCTTATCTCTTTGTTGATTCCTGTTGTTGTTGGTGTTGGTGTTGTTCACCTGATTTTCTAAAGTCGCCATTTGTTTCGTTAAAGCAATTAAAGCCTAAATAATCCCCTTAAAATATGCTATGGCCACCTGTTCATCCGCCATGGTTGTCAAGTTACAAAAAGAATAGGAGAAAATATGCTTTGATGTCAACTGACACAGTTGAAAACCCTAGGGAAACTGGCAAGCGCTAAACTTAGAATGAAAACACAAGATTGCAAGCTAAAAACCTATCAAATAAGCTCTGGAACCCACCAGATAAAGAAATTTTTTGAATTTTATTATAATGAAAGATACCTTATAGCCACGCCAAAGGTCTTTAAATACAAAAAACAAAGAAACCCTAACGGGCCTTTAATCCAAAACAAAAATAAATAATGAAAAATAGTAAAATGCTGAATTTGGGCAAAAAGGTATAATAATTATTCTGACATCAAACACAAAACTTTTACAATTCTTGTGGAACTTTTTCGATGCATAATTTCCTTTTCAATACGCGTAACTAACCTTCCAACATAAAAATATGTGCTAAGCAACAAACATGAAATAACACTCCCTCATATAACAACCAATTTTACAAGACAAGTTGTCTTTTCAAGTGAGCTTGCATCACATCATTAGGAGAAACATTATCTAATGTGAGTAAAAAATATTTTTTCTCAATTCCCCAATCTAATAAAAATTCAAGAATATTTTTTGACAACTCAGATCCCGTACATGGAGGAGGCATATGACAAAAGTTTAGAATCATACTCTTTAAATTCTAGTTAGAATTAACATATTGAGCAGTCAAACAAATATAACATTCACTTGTACAAGTTGTCAACATATCATAAGTCAATGAAATTCTAGAGGGAATATTAGTTAACTCCTTCTTAAGAGCTTCTTTCTCTGTCTTTAACATTTCATCAACATTAGCCTTAGCGATATTTCTTGAAATAGGAGAAAAGTCAGGGTTCAAATATTTCATCCAATCCCTAGATTTTTGAAACTCCACAAAATTCTACGGTAAAACATGTGCAATGATTGCAGTATCCCACATTGATCTAGAAACCTTTTTATCTATTGTAAGATTATTGAGACTACCTTGTAAGCCGAATATCACTTGACCTACATTAACATTTTTTATTTTATTTTAGTGCACTTCTTCATATGATGATTCAAAGTTGTTGTACCATAATTCCTATCACCAAGCTTCAAAATATTTGAATAACTGTTGCACTTAGCCAATGTATTCCCATCTTTATTCATTTTAATTTTAGTAAACACTTTCCAACAATCAATATTTGAAGTTTTGACCTTTTTAGACTTGGCCGAAACATCATCTCCGGATTTTCTTAATTCATTTTCACCTTGGATAGTTTCACTCTCCAAATCAACCAAATCAACCACATTCACTTCATCTACAATTTCATTATCAACGGTTTGTAAATCTATTTCAAGTTCTCATATATGCATCCAAATAAAAATCAATTAAAATAAATATAAATTACAAAAAATACATTTTAAACTACATGCAGAGTATATAATTTTCAAGGTTGTAAATATAGAATTTTCAAGGTAAACAAGACAACAAACTACATAGAATATATAACTTTTACTAAAACAAGGCCATGTTCATAATGTGAAAGTGAACATTACTGTGAAGATTTTTGAAGTATTAATTTAAATTCCTATTCAAACATTACTATGAAAAATGACATATTAATATTATTGTTGGAATAATGAAAATGAATGATCACAAAGAAATGAGCAACTATCAACATAGTAGCCAAAACGTTTCCAATCCTGCTCAAATTTCAATCACCCATGAACAATTAATAATAACTAAGAAAAACTGTCAATCTATACAAACTTTCAATAAAATAATCAAAATGACCAATTCTTAGTTGGTCCAGTGGTGATTAGCGTTGAATTTAGTAGGGAGGACCATAGTTCGATCCCTCACAACTATGATCGAGAGGAGGCTGGAACCACTTGATGCCAAAACTGACTCGAGAACCGAATTATAACGGTGGTGAAAAAACAAAAAAAGGAGATGAAGAAACAAAAGGTGATTTCAAAGAAAAAGAATGCGAGAAATACACATGAGATGAAGAAATAGAATGCAAAACTTACTTGTTGAAGAACTAACGCAGGAGTTAGTCTTGCAGTGCAATTTAGAACAAGAATGAAGAACCCGTGCGATTTCGAACATGAAGGAGATTGAAAATTAGCTTAGCGCAATATAACAATTTTAAAGTCTTATCTTATGTGAATAAAACAACAATACATAACATATGAAGGAAATAAAAAAGAGTAGTAATAAGAGATGTAACTCTAATTTTAGTTGTCAATGGACTGTTTTGGTCATGACCTGAGTTCCCTTTATTTTTAAACTTATATCCGTGAGCTGACAGCAACCGCCACACGTCTGCCTCATTATTTTGCGGCACGAGACGAGGCGAACATATTTCATTATACGGGTTCACAATTTAGATCCGGGTAAAATAAGTATGCTCGACAAGCCGAAGCCGTTTTACCACCCATAGTTATTTTTAGAATTTTTATAAGGTGCATGAGTAACATATGTGGTGCGTTGAGTAACTTTTTCTTTTTAACAAAGAGAAAAAAAGATTCATGGGCCGATGCAGGCCCGTCCGCTAACGAATCCACGACCCGACATAATTATTTGCAATAAAAACCGGAAGCAGTGTCTTGAAGAACCCTAGTTTAGATTCTTCTCTTCAACCGCACACTCTGGTGTTAGGGTTTTGCAAATCACCGGCAAGAGAGGTAAACGATTTTCCCTTCATTCTACCTGTATTTCTTCGTAGATCTCAATCTCATGTTGTCTTGATAATTTATCTTAGATCTTATACGTATTAAAACCATTCAACAATTCTCAATTGTACTTTTTCTTGATTCTGTTATAGGAGAGATGGCTCCTAAGCAACCCAGTACGGGTCTTTTCGTTGGATTGAACAAGGGTCACATCGTCACCAAGAAGGACTTGGCACCACGTCCCTCAGCTCGCAAGGGGGTGAGTTTTTTTTCTCTGCGATTTGGGTTTTCAGTCTCATCATTCCACTTATTTTTGAATTTTACAGTTCAAACCTAATTTATCCTTTTGTGAAATTTGAATTTTTTTGTTGGTCAGATCTATTGTTTGTAAGATTTAAGTTTAGTTAGTGCTTCTTAGTTCTATTACTAAGAGGAAAGTCTATTTTTTTAAAATTAATTTTCTTGTAATTATATAGATGAAAATGAAAATCTTAGAACAGTGTGAAAGCATCAAAGAGCTTGTTACTTACAACAAGCATTGTTTTCTGTGGAGTCCTCATATTTAGGCCTGTATTTTTTTTTCAAAATGAGTCCCTTTTCTTGCATCCTTCTTTTTCACTTGTAATTTAGTTTCTATTATATCACTTTTTGGAAGTTACTAGTTAAGGGGATGAATGTGTTAGAATGGCAAAGTAGATATAACACAATCAAGAGAGTTGGTTGATGTTCTTAATTTGTAATTTGTAAATTTATTTGTGACACCAAAGTTTTGATTGATTCAATCAGAAAACAAGCAAGAGAGTTCACTTTGTGAGAAATCTCATAAGGGAGGTAGCTGGATTTGCACCTTATGAGAAACGTATCACTGAGTTGCTCAAGGTTGGAAAAGACAAGAGGGCATTGAAAGTTGCAAAGAGGAAGCTCGGAACCCACAAGCGTGCCAAGAAGAAGAGAGAAGAGATGTCCAATGTTCTAAGAAAGATGAGGTTTGTCATATTTTCTTTTATTAATGCTATGTTGTTTACACAATATTTAAGTTAATCGTTCCTGAATTGTGTTCTGGTTGGTGATGATTTGTGCTTATTAAGCTGTTTTCATTATGCAGGGCTGGTGGAGCTGGAGATAAGAAGAAATAGGTCTTGTTTATTTTTGTTATGGTTTCACATGATGGGGGACTATCTATCTTGTTTTCATTTACTTCAATTTTCTTAAGTTTTTTATGGTTAGAAGAAATGTTCTTTATTTAACCGAGACATATGTGTTACTCAGTTTTGCTATTGAACTTAGTATAATCTTGAGTTTATTTGTGTATCATTAGATTTTTATTGCTTTACAATTATTAAGTTTTTTGTTCCTTATGATATCCATGTTTTCTAATAATTATTATCTCGTGTATGAATGTAGTAATAGCCTTCTCATGATGAATGGTTTAGTAAGGCTTAGGTTTCCAAGAGATTTATAAGACCTTGGAGTTATTTAAGTTGAGGCACAAATAAAATTATGTTATACTTGGTATGTGATATAAAACTTGCACAAATTTAACGTTTTTTTCACTTTGTACTTTGGATGTTTGTTTTCAAATTGATGGGAAGGAATGTCGTCGAAATCTGTATGTTTAGTTTTATACTGTGCATCCAGAAATCTTACTGTAATAGTCTTTACTGTAATAGTCTTTACTGTGGTCACAACCCGATGGTAGAAATGCCCAACTGTCATAAAATTAAAGTGTATATAAATTTGTTCTATAGAGGATTATTCTTCAATGTTTACATTAGATGAATTGAGCCATAAAAACGTGTTGAATCAAATGCTTTTCTATCGGACATCAAATGCCATATTTTTGAGCTTGACCATTAAGTTGTTATATGTGCCTTGAACGATAAAGCCTTACAGAACAGATGGCATGACATATGATCTATAAGTAGTTTTACATTGGATTGGAACTTTCTTATTTTTGTGACGTAAAAGATGGAATTTCATGATAAGTGGCGCAATTGGATTTCATTAAAAATTTAGATTTTTTCAGAAATCCGAAAACTTGAATTTTGTTGGAAATATAAAAAATGTACAAAAAAATTGAGTTTTTTTGAAAATAAAATATATTTCAGAAAAACAAAAAATTGAGTTCTTTTTTTGCAAATATGAAAAAATAGAGTTTTTTTCCTTCTAAAAATACGAAAAAAATTGAGTTTTTTTGAAAATAAGAAAAAATGAGTTTTTTTTTAATAATACGAATAATTGAGTTTTTTTTAAAATCCACAAAATCGTGTTTTTTCGAAAATACGAAAAATCTAACTGTTTTTTGAAAATACGAAAGAACCAAATTTTTTGGAAAATACGAAAAAAAAATTGATTTTTTTTGAAAAAATGAAAAATTCGTTTTTTTTTTAAATTTATCAAATCGCGTTTTTTTTTTGAAAATACAAAAAATCCAGTTAGGTTGAAGATACACAAAATTGAGTTTTGTCGAAATACAAAAAAAATCAAATTTTGTCAAAAATACAAAAAATCGAGTTTGATTGAAAATACGAAAAAAATCGAGTTTGGTATGAAAAATCGATTTTTTTAAAAAAAAAACTAGTTTTTCTTTTCTTTCGAAAATATGATAAATCGAATTGTTTGAAAATGAGAAAAATTGAGTTTTTTTCAAAAATATGAAAAATCAAATTTTTTTCAAAATACGAAAAAATCGTTTTTTTTTAATACAAAAAAATTGAGTTTTTTCAAAAAAAAAAAAAAAAAGAATTTTTTTAAAATAAGAAAGTCGAGTTTTTTCGAAAATAATTTTTTTTTCTTCGAAAATTAAAAAAATTGAGTGACCAAATTAGTCCCAACTTTTTTTTATATCATAAAGAACTACTTTTTTGAGTGATACCAATATTCAATAAAGTGAAAATTCTTTATATCTAATCTTAATCTTACAATTTGAGCATTTCTTAACAAAAATCAATTCTTTTCACCTATCTTCCTAAGGACCACCAGAACCAAAATAATAAACAATAGATTACAAACTGAATCTATGTGCAGACACTGTCACTCCCCCGAGCTCTCCCAGGAGCTTCCGAGATTCGACATTATGTCATGCACCAAAACTCGGATTATGTTGCTTCCACCTGATGATCTTGAGACATACATACACTCCTGCAGGTCTGCATCACAGGCAATCAAAACCCATTCATTATCATCATCCATATACTTGACATCAAATGTACCAATCTCAAGTTTCAGTCTTTTGGCAACTTCCTCTTTCAATTCCGCAATGCCACAGTTCAAAGAGACTCTAAACCTTATGATATCTTCTCTATATGTTGCCTTAATAGTCGCAGTTTTCATTTCTTTTCTAGCTGCAATAGGCGTCACTGATTTATTAGTAGCTTCCATGCATTGTTTAGGAGCCAGATATGAACATGGAAGGTTGTTCCCATAAGGTTCTGGAGCTAGATCCTCCACAATGGCCTCAGCTACAGAAGGACACAAATTTCTCAAGTCTTTTGAACTACCTGCATCCTCTATTAGCATTCCTCCAAACGGCTCTTGAAGTTCTGCTAAGATGTTGTCGGGCAAACCGTGAGCAGTTGGAGAGTTGAATGCATTAGTTGGCTGCACTCTCGACTCTGGCGATCCCCTCAGAACAACATATTGCTCATTGTTGGGAGGAATGAACGGATCTTTAATGGTTGAAATTTCATTCGGGGGACTATCGTGGCACGAACCATGAGAAGTAGGATTTATGCTATCTTCGCTCGAGATACTCCTACTTCGAGTCCTTTTTCGGTCCTTGCCAGGACCATGTTTGCTTCCTCTAAGCAGTTCATCTTCCAATACAATTGGTATGTTTGTTTCTTTTTGGGCATGAAATTCATTCTCTTTCATCTGAGGCTCTGATGGCCTATTGTTTAATGAGGCTTGCTGGCTGGACTTGTTCGGAGTAGAATGCTCGGGGAAAGAGCTAGCAACTGGAAGTTGATTAGTGTTGAGAGAATTCAAATCAAACGTCCCTTCAGCCCCTTGGACAGATTCAATAACACGCTTGAGCTTTGACAGGGAACGGTTAACCTTGTTGATCTTTCGAGATGGCCAACGGGATATCCCATGCTGCCTGCATATGCGCTTCATTGTAGTAGGGCATACTGTAAAATAAAAACATATCCAAGAACTTTGTGTTAGAGCTACTACATTCTTTCATGTCTCTTTAAATAGAAAGCTGCCACTAACTTTGGTTATGAAAATACAAATTGTTATGTTTTGATTGCATACCTACATTCTTTGATAATTCTAGTAGTCTTCATTTTGAATTGTTAATCTTAGATTTTTTATTGTTGTTAAGCAGATATTAATCTTAGATGAATATACATTTCAAGCTATAGCAAACTCTTAAGGATAATAATAAGTGTAGCACCGGCACATCAGGTACAATTGGTTTCATTCAATTATATCGATTTTTCTAAATTATTACCGCTGCCAATGTCATGTTCTGATTTGTCTATGTCAGTGCTACATAGATAAAAAATTTATCACACTATATGTCAGAGTATGAACGTACCGCCAAGGCTCTTTGCAGCATCTTTAAGACTCCCAGCGAAATAACGTTGTAGAACTTCAAGACTGATAGATTTCTCAGTTTTTCCACGCTTCCTCTCTGAGGGTTTCTTTATGTTTTTATTCCCTAAAGAGGACACCGGATCAATGCTTCCGCCTACATTTTCACAATGAATCTCTAATGGATCACGTGGTAACTCCTCCTCCTCCTCCTCCTCCATATTCGGCGAGGCATCGGGTATAGGCGGTGATTTAATAGATTGAGCAATTGAAATAGATTCAATCCTAACACGGATGCCTTCATCTGTTGCTTCAATAATTTCAATTGGACTGTTTTCCTCAAGTTCAACACCAGCAGCAATACTAAGACTCTGAAAATGCTGTTTCATTGTTGCCAATATGGATCCCAAAAGTGTCTTCTGTTCATGAAATTCGGTGATCCCAGGAGGAAGAAAAAATTCTAATACATAATCGTCATTTCCCGTGTGAAAACTCCGCAAACAGATTGAAAAAGAGCCAGTTAACCCAAACATGAGAGCATAATGAACCAAAGGGTAATCTGTTTTGCAGAACTTTGTAATGTTTGTGCAGAAGCTCATGTTTTGTGACAAAAAAGCTCTTCCAGCAACACCTTGACCATGTTGTAAGTGATGCTCGACACACGCCTCTCGAAAACCCCATAAATGAGCATCTATAATATAGGCTGCTACCTCAGTTGTAGACATGCAAACTTGCCCCATGCAACTACCATCAAAACTCGAACAACTTTTCTTGAAACCGCCACCATGAGCCAAAACACTCCTATGCCTACACGGAACCCATGTTTGCGCGAGAGGTAAATTATGAGTTTCGCACACCACTGTCAATATCTCCAAGATCTCGGATAACGCATTTTGACGCCCTTCATTGCAAATCTGGTTTAAAAGCATTGCCAAGTTATATCTGTGGGAACAAAATAGGTTTATGCGGCAGTACGATTAATTATGTTAGTGTAAAACTATTTTACACCGACACTGAATTAAACTTTACGAAAATACCTGAGTGAATGGATGGTTCAAAATTTCCGAACTCCTCAAATTTACTGCCTGAAAGGAAAACCAAAAGCATGCGATTGAGCATGTTTATAAACATCACATCGTAATCGCCAAGCATAAGAAAACCATAAAGCTTAGATAGTAAAGTTGAAAGAAACTAACCTCAAGGGCTTTGCAGATTTTTTCAACCTCAGGAGCATAGTTAATCTTCAGTGAAGTCATAATCAACTCTATCACACCGATACATGACTGCAACGAAGGTTCAAATACAGGCAAAGCCAAGGTTCCCCGAACGTTATAATGTTGAGCATGATCTCGGCGTGGATACTCTTTACTAGAATAATACAGAACATTTGGAGACCATTCCGGTAGTTTCTGCTGGAAAACTCGACCAGGAAGTCCTAGAGTTCCATCATTCTCTCCATCCACCGAAAACTTATACATCAGGGAAGCCGTTCTATACTGATTGAGTCCATTACTATGCGGATCAAGCACAAAGGGTTGACCTGAAGTTGTAAGTTCATACCGATTACCATTCCTCACCGGTGCCCAAACCTGAGCCA